GTGAAAACCATGGTAGAGCGAATTACTTATATATACATGATTTTGCACACCCGTACTGCCCTGTAGCAGTATTTCTGCTATAGGGCGGTTGGGAAGTGGTTGATGCATAAACATCATATATTGGGAAAAGAAGATAATTCAATTCTCAAAAGTATATTACATAATATAAGGACTACAAACAGGACATCAATGCATGCTAGTAGGACAAAACAGCATACAGCACATGGAAAAAAGGAGAGAGTGGATCAGCAACAAGGTAGTTGTTTTTCAATGCCACCAGATACAAAACACTGTAAAAAGGGCTTGTAGCTGTCGTATTCATTGAAGCCCGGATGGGACGTCACACGTAATTGGAAAATCCATAGAGTTCCAATTGTAGTAACAACTTGTTCCAATCCCCTCCCCTGGGGCTTGAATGTATCCGAAAAAGAACAAGTAAATGGATTTTTGGAAATCTGCCGTCGTGCACAGAGATCACATAGGGCAATTCAGGATCACATGTTTTCATACTCTTGATGTGTCTATAAGCTCATCTCCAAAATTTCAATTTGGTCTTAGCCACATAGAAACACCTACATTCACACATCAAAAGGTAAACAACCCCAAAGGTTTAGATTTGAAATAGTCCCCATTGGGCAATCTGGGTTCCACCTCAGTGTGCATATATTTACAGTAATTGCAAGAACCATAGATAAAAGGTATCTTTTAAGTTTGCATGAATCTCTAGAAATAGCACCCTTGTACTCACTCTGTGTTATCCGACCTTTTATGAAGGTAGCCCTCCTAAACGTAATGTGAGGGGCTGAAGATACAAATTTTCCTATTATAGGATCTATGGTGAGCAAGTACCAATATTTCTGGATAATATTTCTAATTTGGCCATGATGGCTGGAATATTTCATAATAATTCTTGTACACTGATCTGATTCTCTCCCCTTTGTATTACTATATAGCAGATCAGTCCTAGTATTGGAAATTGCCCGTTTGCATGCCTTTTTCAAACAAGACATAGTGTACCCTCTTTCCAATAATCTAACCCGTAAGACATCTGCTTCTACCTTGAAACCTTGCTCATCTGAACAATTCCTTATTGTTCTTAAATACTGGCTGTAGGGGATAGATGAAACTAATGGTTTGGGATGAAAACTAGAGGCGTGCATAATGGTATTGTAGTGGGTTTCTGTAAAAGTTTACTGGCCAGGCTACCATCATTTTGCACTTGAATAGTAACATCAAGAAAAGTGACTGCCTTCAAATCAGAAGTCATAGTAAATGTGAGATTGAAGTAATTCTTATTCATCCTATCCAAACATTTCAATAATAGATCCTCCAATCCATCCTATACCATCAGGATATCATCAATGTATCAGCTCCACATACAAATGTGGTCCGTATACATTGAGAGTCCCTCATCAGCCATGAACATTCGCTCCCACTCCCCCAGGTACAGGTTGGCATAGGACGGGGCACAGCAGGTCCCCATAGAAACCCCCTGCATCTAGAGGTAGTGGGAGCCATTGAAGGTAAATACTTTGTGGTTAAAAACAAATTCCAAGGATGCAAGAATAAATTCATTATACGCCCATTCTTGTTGTTTCCTCTGAGCCAGTACGTGTTGAATTACTGCTAATCTTCTATCATGTGGAATGGAGCTATAGAAGACGTGCCCCCCTCAGGTAGATGTATGTTATCAATAATTTTTAATAGATGTATTGTATCCTTTACATATGAGAGAAGGCTTAATACATGAGGTCTCAGATGTTCATCAATGAGCGACTCAGATTTTCAGTCAAAGTTCTATTGCCCAAAATGATGGGCCTTCCTGGAGGGTTATCAATTTTTTTGTGAATTTTAGGAAGAGAGAAATTTTGGGGCAGTTAGTTCTAATAAACTCCCATGTGACTTTGGTGATAATGCCATTAAGAAATGCCGTATCGACTAATTCATAATATTGACTGTTACATTTATTAATCATTTCTGGGAAAATGGAACAATACCAATTTCTATTTTGGAGAATCCTTTTACACATGTTGACATACTGGTTATTATTCATTATAACAATATTACCCCCTTTATCTGAAGGTTTAATCACTAACGATGTATTATAAGCTAGTTGGTTAAAGGCCCTTTTTTTTCATTGTTACTTAAATTATCAACATATTTGGACTTAATTTTTAGTTTTTCAAATTTCCATGCATACCAATTTTAGAAATGCTGCTACATTGCAGTTTAAGCTGAGGGAAGGGAAAAGATCAGACTTCTTCTTAAGTAAAAACAAATATGGAGGAGACTTGGTGTCACTTGAATCAATATTTTTAAGAAGTTGAACAATATCAATGTGAACAATCAAGTCAACAGACTCACTTTCCAGCAAAAAGGACAATAGATTATCCAATGCCTTTGAGTCCTCTACACTTGAGGGATCATTCCTATTTTTGTCATACATGCCTTTAAGAATAAGATTATGGGCAAATAATTGTATGTCTTTAATTGCAGTAAATTTATCAAGTTTTTCCATGGGACAAAAACTTAAGCCTCTCGCCAGGACACTTTTCATCTACCGATAATGGGTATGTGGATAGATTGACAATATTCAAGCCTATTTCATGACATTCTGTTTTTTCATGTAGGTGTCTATCTTCCTGTTTCCCTTGTTCGTGTTCAAAGTGCTGTAAGGTGGGGCTAAAAAACTATTAGAATTGTGGGGCTGTACATGAGAGGTTGGTGTACCCTCATGATTTATTTTATCAGTATCTGAAAGAGACCCATCGCCCGTTGTTTCATCTACGAACGAGGATGAGAAAAATTTTCCATCACCTTGTGTGTTACCTTACATCATAGTCGGTACACATCCTTGCACAGATTTAGCCATATCAGATGTGGATTCCAAATTATGTTTCTTAGCAAATTGTCCTTGTGGACCTCCCATTAAATAGGCGTCTTTGAAATTGCCAATTATTGGTATGTTTAGTCACTACCTGTGAGGGAACAGAGACAGCAGATGAAAGAGATGATTAAGAAATGTTCAAAGAGTGGTCCTGTGTGTAAGGCATATGCCTTTGTCTCATTTTATACTTTTTTCTGTAAATCAGAATTCCATTTATAGGCTGTACCTTTTTAGAAGGCATTTTTATCCCTGGAAAACTTTTTTCTTTTTTGATAACAATATTTTAATAAAATTTTTCCAAATGATTTGTCTCCCGTTTACCATATGATGGTTGTATTTTAAGGGGTTGTAGTTGTACATTAAGACCGTCAAGGTCTTTGTCCAAATCGCTTATCTGATTCTTATACTCGGAAATTAGTAAATTCATCATTCCCATTGAACATTTTTTAAGAACTTTTTTACATTCTTTTTGAAAATTAGAATCTATATTGTCAAGAGTGGGAAAAATCTGGACCCTAAGACCAAACGGATTAATATAATTTTTGATATTGCCTACATGGAAGTTATTATTGTTATTATCCTTTGTATGTAGCTCACCTTTGTGGCTGTTAGTGCGGCCTCAGTACCTCCTTGAAGGGCCACGGCCTGGTCGGTGCCTGCCTGGATGTGGTTTGGGGAGACTATGCAAACTCGGCTGCACACCAAATGCTTTTAATGTGGCGGAAATTTTCTTATCTTTTTCTGGCCCTCATTGTAATATGCTGTGAGTAATATATAGTTTTTGATGTCCACATAATGATACTGTATATAATTGCTGATAGAATTTCTGTATGATCTCAATATGTATGTTTCAGCTTCTAGAGGCTATACTGTTCATGTACAAAGTCTCGTCCCTGAAGAAGGAATAGACTTACTCTGAAACACATTGGATGTTATCTAGGAACTCTTTGATGTTGATATATCTTTGTATGGTATTATTGTACTTACCTTTCAATTTACCGCCTGTTTAATGTTTTATGGCTGATAAGTTTTAACATATTCATGTTCAATAAAGATTGTTGTAACTTTTACCTACTTTTTCGATGCCTTTAAAGTCCCAACTAGGGGGGTTTCTCTCCAATACAATTAGTCGTGGTATAATCTCACATTTATCAATGGTGTTTAACATAAAAGGCAATAAGACTACAATAAGACACATTTGGTAAAACAAAAGAAGCTATATATAGTAACCAGGAGATCATATACAAGAATCCAATGTCAACAGTTAAAAGGGGGATACTCATTTCTAAAGTTCCAGTACTTGCCATATTCAGCCAACTAAACTCACTGATGGTAAAGCAAAGTGTGATAAGTTTATTTAGTTAAATGTGTTTACAATTGGCATACCATTCTACCCATGACTTACAGCATTTGGTAAATTCAGACTGTTTCCCTGCTATAGTTGTCAGCATATGTTCACATATATAATAGATAAGGAGCATGTGTAATGCTTCATTAATGTTTGGGGCTGAGTAGGCGCATCATGGTTGGCTTGGCTGCCAAAAAGAGTTGAGTTGTGAATGGTCTGAATATAGGAGGTATATCTTCTATGCCTAGATTTAGTATAGCTAGAGAGAATGATAATGGTAGAGAAAATTTTGTGACCTGGCTAAAAATGAGAAATATTTTATTCCAAAAAGGGAGCTAGTTTACTACAGTCCCAAAGGATATGAAGAAGTGTCTAATTTTGAATGCATCTTTTCCAGCATCCTGGGGATTGTAATCAGTCAATATTAGCTATTCTATACAGTGTTAAGTACCACCGTAATATGGGTTTGTGTGAAAGGTCCAAAGATTAACACTTTTAGTGGATGAGTGGGTGTAACGCATTCCTCCATTGGGCCTCTGTGTAAGTGACATTAAGATCTCTTTTCCATGCTAGTATAGTATTTGTTTTAGTAAATTAAGATTTTCCTATATAGTTGTAAAAGATTGAATTGCCTCCTTAACCACCTTCCACCCGCCATATAGTACAATGACGGGCGCAAGGTAGTTCTCTCGTTCTGATAGGACATCATATGATGTCCTTCCATTTTCACCGTGAATGCGGGGCTCAGAGAGCGCGCAGCAAGGCGATCACCAGTGCGCTGTGTCCTTCGGACACAGCGGATCACGGAAAGAGCCGAAGATGTCGGCTCGGTCATGTGATCAGCTGTGTCCAATCACAGCTGATCACATGTAAACACGGAAATACCGGTTATCGGGATTTCTCTCCTCTTGAGCTGTCACGCTGACAGCTCGAGAGGAGAGGAGAGCCGGTAATCGGCTTTCCGCGGAGGGGACATGTACACTGATCATCAGGGCACTGATGATCAGTGTGCCCTGATGATGAGTGTGGCCCCAGAAGTGCCACCTGTCAGTGTCCATCAGTCAGTGCTCATCAGTGCCACGTGCCAGTGCCCATCAGTGCCACATCAATGCCTCATATCTGTGCATACCAGTGCACATCAATGCCACATATCAGTGCCCATCTGAGCTGCCTTTTAATGTCACCCATCAATGCCAATCAGTGCCACCTATCAGTGCTGCCAATCAGTGCTGCCAGTCAGTGTCGCCTATCAGTACGCATCAGTGCTGCCTATCAGTGCCAGTCAGTGCCGCCTATCAGTGCCATATATCAGTGTCATGTATCAGTGCTGCCTTTCAGTGCCCATCAGTGATGCCTGTCAATGCCCATCAGTGCAACCTATCAGTGCCCCCTCATCAGTGCCCATCAGTGTCACCTATCAGTGAAGGAGAAAAAGCACTTATTTACAAAATTGTATAACAAAAAACTAAGAAAACATTTTTTTTTTTTTCAAAATTTTCAGTGGTTTTTGGTTTGTTTAAGAAAAAATAAAAAATCCCAGAGGTGATTAAATACCACCAAAAGAAAGCTCTCAAAAAAATGATAAAAATATCATATGGGTACAGTGTTGCATGACCGCACAATTGTCATTCAAAGTGTGACAGCGCTGAAAGCTGGAAATTGGCCTGGGCAGGAAGGGGGTATAAGTGCCCTGTAGGCTAGTGGTTTAAATCATTAGGTAAGGTAATCGACACATTTCCAATACAGTTGGTTACAGTTTCCAATACAGTTTCAAAAGGTATGATCAAATGTGGAGGTATGTAAAGTATTCCGAATTAGGCATCTGGTATTCTGTTTGTAATGCTATGAAAGATTTTAAGGTGGTATTCGTGTATACGTCATCCAATGTTTTTATACTGTCATGACCAGTTTTCTAATGAGGGGACGGGGAGGAGTAAGGTAAGTATATTTATAGGAATAGAGATTTGGACTGTTGGAGCAGAGATTGTTTTAGCAGTGTAATATTTAGGGATGTCTAGCTCAGTGATAGATGCGTTTTTAAGTGGGTTCACGCCATTCAGGAACTACTGTATTTTTTGCTCCAAAATATGCACCTGACCATAACCCGCACCTAGGTTTTAGAGGAGGAAAGCAAGAAAAAAAATATTCTGAACCAATGGACTGCAGACATAGTACAGGAAATGACCAGAGACTGCAGACATAGTACAGGAGATGACCAGAGACTGCAGACATGCGGACGTACTACAGGAGATGACCAAAGACTACAGAGATAGTACAGAAGATGACCAGAGACTGCGGACGTACTACAGGAGATGACCAAAGACTGCAGACATAGTACAGGAGATGACCACTGTCAGGAATGGAAATATTTTATTTAAGTTTGAGGTCATACATACCAGCAAACCAAAAAAGTTTTTCTATAAAAATACAAATAAATAAATAAATATAAACATCAACTTGATGCAAAAACAAGAGAGTCCAGAAGTCCCTGGAAAAGAACTCAACATAAAAGTCCACATAGCCTTTATGGCTCAGAAACCAAAAGAGTCCATACTCTGGAAAAGAAAAAACAGCAATATTTCAACCAACCAACAGGATGCTCCAAGCATACAGATCACCCAAACAGAAACTTATACATATAAGAGGCTTTTATAGCCAAAAGGTACACCCTCAATTTCCATACTACTGCTTCAGACAGCCTCTAAGGTTGAGACATACTATACTTAACAGAACAAACAAACACTTACATACTCAAGAAAAAGGACTAAGAAACTTAGACCTTCAGCTTCTGCAGTCTCTCTTCAAAAGAATCCATACTAGCAAAATCTAGGGGAGTGAAAAGAAGGAAACTAGGGACAGATGCCACCACCCGAGATCAGCAGATAGCAGCTACGGGCCTGATGTTCCTCCACGCCTCCATCCAGGCCTTTCACCGCCGCCAGCCTCTCTCAAGACCCCGAATTTTCCCTACCTCACCAAGGATGTCACGCACCACCACCTGGACGGGGAGGACTTCTTGCCGAATGGAAACCTGACACCATGCATTCCAAGTGTAGTAACGGACTACTACGCTGACTAGAAACAAGCTGTCCAAATCAAAACCCTGGCGGCTTTCAAATGCTCCATACACCCACTCTGCATAAGACATGCAGTATAGAAAGGAGACACCCAGAGCCCCACCCACCTCTTTATATACCTCCAAGTTAAAGGTGCACTGAAGCAGGAAGTGGTCCATAGTTTCCACTTCACCCCGACACTGCGACCTCGGACAACCACGGTAATCCAGAGGACAGTACTTCAAGTTACCCCTCACGTAGAGCCTGCCATGGAAGGCGAGCCAGGCCAGGTCCCTAAACCTCAAGGGAATCTGCTCCAGATTTATTAAACGCAAACCCTCCCTCATAATATGGCTCGGGCAATCCTTCAAGGCCAACGGCGCATGGAAAGCAGTTGCCACAATCCTCTCACCCAGGAGTCTCCTAGGGAGGGATCTGACCTCCTCCGCTGTCACATGCCACGGCCAGAGTATCTTCAGGCACGAGGCCACATAAGCCGGGAGCTTACCATGCTTGACCTGCAGGCTTCTCACTGGCCCACCACTCTCTCAACTGCTCAGAAAAGGCCTAAACCAGATCTGGAACAGCCCTACCCATGCAGGCGGTCTCTCTGCCAGCATATTACCAAGATTATGTTTCAAGAACATCAGAGAGAAAAACACTATTGGGTTGACCATACCTAGGCCACCCTCCCGCCTGGATAAGTAAGTTACATCTCGCCTGACAAGGTTCAGCCTGTTCCCCCATAACATCTGGAAGAAAGAGCTGTAAATCCTTGCATAGAGCGACTCTGGCAAGAGGCAGACAAAACTGACATACAAAAACACAGGGACCAGGAAAGTCTTGATCAGGTCAACCCTTTCCCTCAAGGAGAGCCACCACCCCTTCCAGCATCTCACCTTGACCTCAGCATCAGACAGTTTGGCCTCCCAATTTAACTTGCCGTAATCAGCCGGGCTGAAATTGATGCCTAAAATTTTCACATTTTGCTGAGGCACTGGGAAGGTGTCCGGAAGTGAGAAGCTCTCACCTTCCCTACCCGTCCAGAGAAATTCACATTTGTCTTGATTGACCTTGGAACCAGACGCCTCAGCATACTGCTTCATCACCGAGACCACCTCCTGCGCCTCCCCGGTCCTGGAGATGAAAACAGAAACATCGTCAGTGTAGGCTACGACCCTCAGAGGCGGATCCCCAGTAGCACCCACCGGCAACCCACCCAACGCCCCACCATCTAGCCTCCTAACGAAGGGGTTGATAGTGAAAGCGTAGAGCAGAGGGCTCAGCGGGCATCCCTGGCGCACCCCCGATCCAACCCCAAAGGGCCGCCCAACCTAACCATTCACCAACATGAAGCTCTCGGCCTCCCTGTACAACATCTTTAGCCAGCCAATGAACCTCCCCTCCAAACCGTACCAGTCCAGGAGACGCCAGAGGTACTCGTGATCAACACGGTCAAAGGCTTTTGCCTGGTCCACTGGCAGCAGAAACTTTCCCCATCTCTCAGCCTTACATCGCTCCAGAGCCTCCCGGACAGCTAACACCGCTGTGAAAGTACTCCTGCCCTGGACTGAGCAATGCTGCTGGTGAGAAAGCAAACCATCTGCCACTGACGACAAGCGCCAGAACAAGATCTTGGCCAGAACCTTTCTATCGACATTGAGAAGGCTAATGGGGTGCCAGTTCTAAATAGCCGAAGGATCCTTACCCTTTGACAGGAGAATCACCGCAGACTGTCTCATGGAGAGTGGGAGAGATCCCTCACTCAGACAGCAGTTATAAACCTCCGCAAGACGAGGCGCCAAGCTGGACTTAAAGGTCTTAAAAAACTCAGCCGTCAATCCATCTGGCCCAGGAGTCTTTTTAATGGCCAGACTGTCAATAGCTTTGACCACCTCTTCTACAGTAATTTCTCCAGTCAAACCTGTAGGCAAGATATTACCCTCCAGGCCCGGTGTAGAGTCCAAAAAACTCAACTTCCTTGTCCAGTCGAGGCGCTTCTCACTCAGTAAGTCCGCATAAAAGGACCTAGAGACTTCCAGAATCCCAGACCTGGATCTCATCAGGGACCCTGAACCATCCCTTAGGGCAGAGACTGTCTTAACCGCTGCACCCTGTTTGCAATTCTGGAAAGGTTCGGGCGAGTGGTACTTCCCATAATCCCTCTCCAGAACCAAAGAGGCATGCCGATCATACTGGTACTCCCTGAGGAGGACCTTAACCCCCGAGACTGCCCCAGAATCTCCACCGCTAGAAACAAGGCGGTCGAGCTTCCTCCACAACCGTTGGTAGGCAATATACTTATTAAATTGCTTCTTCTTACCTATGGCCTTGAAAAACCTGCCAATCCGCACCTTGGTAAGCTCCCACCACTCCAACTTACTGTTGCAAAAATCCAGCACGGTCTCCTGTGCCTGAAAGAACTCCCTGAAGGATTATCTCACCCCCTCGTCTTCCAGCAGAGCCGAATTCAGTCTCCAGATGCCTTTCCCTCTCTGTGGTGTGTCTGAAACATTCAAAGCCACAGTAAGCATAAGGTGATCAGAGAACTCCATCGCCCGACACTCAGGTGCTGAGAAGGCAGAGTCCTCCTTCAAAAAAAACCTGTCTATCCTACTCTGACTATTACCTCTCCTAAACGTGAAACCCATGCTGTCTGGGCTGCACTTAACCAAGGTGTCCACCAGACCTGCTTCCCTGACTATAGCATTCAGAAAAACGCTATCATATCCCAGCCTGTCATTGAAGCCCCTCCTGTCCTTGGGCCTAGTGATGGTGTTAAAATCACCTCCAAAGACCACCAGCCGAGACGTAAAAAGGAAAGGCTTGATCTTTGTGAAGAGGCATTTCCTGTCCCACTTGGACTGTGGTCCATAAATGTTAATCAAGCGCAGTTCCTGGCCCCTCACAAGGACATCTAGGATCAGACATCGTCCAATCTCCACCTTAATGATCCGCCGGCAGCTTACCATACCGGTACCACAACTCTGCAGTAAGGCTCAGCCGCAAGAGACCAGTAGGAAGGCCCACACCTCTACTCCCGCTTGGCCAGATGGATATCAGCCAAGCTGGACAACCTGGTCTCCTGCAAAAAGAAAACATCAGCATCAATACCACTGAGCAAAAATTTGGCTGACTCTCTAGCACTTACAGATTTTAGGCTGGCAACATTAATGGTTGCCACCTTTAACGGAGCGGGAACTGCCATTAAGACAATTAAGGGTGGCGTTTCTTAACCTTTTTCTTGACCTTTTTAGAA